CCCCTCAGATTCCGAGAAGATAGTGACTGCCTTGATAATGCCCCCTCCTAAAGATCCGGTGAATGCTACCTGTTACTGTAGCCATACTCAGAGTGCGCCCCATGATGTGGGATACAGTTCCTGTGTAAAGACTCAGAGTATTGCGCTTCCACGGCCTCTAAATGGAACCTATCAGGTGTGCGGGAACCGGGCCTACACCTGGTTGCCAGGAGAGAAAGCAGACAATGGTGGAATCACAAAATCCCAGGGCCACCCTTGGAAGGGTTGTTGTTACTTAGCATATTTGGTCCCTCATTTATGAATTATGAGTCACCCCAAGGAACATCCTCGTTGGGGTCAACAACAAAGGGAAATACCTGAAAAGGGAAAGGTTCTGGATGATCATTTTTCCCCTTTATGGAACTGCCCGAACTTCTAGGGAAATAATTAATTTAGCGGCTGCCCTGGAGGTACTAGCTAACAATACAGCGGGGGCATTGACTGATACTCAGACGCAGGTAACTGAGTTATCTGCTGAAATGGTTGCAATGCGGCAAACAGTCTTACAAAATCGAATGGCCCTAGACTTTATCCTGGCAGAAAAAGGAGGGACATGTGCCATTATAGGGAAGGAATGTTGTACTTATATTCCTGATGAATCAACCAATATTACCGACCTCTCCAAGCACATTACCCAAGAAGTCCAGAAAATCCAAGGTGTTGGTAATGACCTACATGGGTTCAATAGTGGAACAGGATGGTGGCCGTTTGGGAGTCTTTTTGGGAATATTGGGGGCATGTTGTTACATTTCAGGATTATAATACTTATTGTAATTGCCTGCATTCTCGGATTAAGATGCTTGTGGCCACTGATATCCAATTGCTATAGTTTTCGGCTTTAGGAATATTCTGTGTGATCATAAAATGATCTAAAGGAGGGAATGATAAAGTATTGGGGAAGCAATAGTTAGAAGTTTTGCTGAAATAACGATGTACCATAAATTTTGGAATGTGTGCCTGTGTTTGTAACAAGCTGAAGGTTGCAGCTGTTCTTCCCACGGCTGGGGCTGCTTCCTCTATTCAATGGAACATTGTTAACTGCACTACTTATCTGCTTATGACGCATGTGAACAGTATGGGATGTGATAACATTTAGTCATGGCGGGTAGAGAAATATGTATGTTAATCACACACACGAGGGCTATAAAATGTACTGCATTTATGCTACACACAGAGGTCCGATGAGAGTCCACCAAGTGAGAGCTTGACTGTTACTCTGGTGTTGATTCCGGACCTCTTGCTGGCTAAGCTAAAAGAAAGAAGTTAATGGAACTCTTGTGGGGTCCGGAAGTTTTTGAGTCAACACCTCCAGTGTCTTGTTTTCATAGAGTTGCTTTCAGCAACTGATGTACCTATTAACATCCAACATTAACACGTAATCTTCATCTATCTCTATCCTGTATAACCATAGTGTTCCCTAAATGTTAACTCTATTTGTCTCTTCACATTTTTTTCATTTGTACACAGCATGGCATACATCGCATGCTGGGCCAGTATTTACTGCCCAGCCCCAATTTCCCCTTGACCGAAATGGCTTACTGGGCCATTTCAGAGGGCAGTTAAGAGACAATCACATTGTTATAGATCTGGAGTCATGTGTAGGCCAGACCAGATAAGGATGACAAATTTACTTCCCTGAAGGACAGTAAGGAACCAGATAGATTTTTACGACAATTGACAATGGTTATATGGTCACCATCAAGTCAGATTTCTTTAATTCCAAATGAACTATTTGGTGGGATTCAAACCTAAGTGTCCACAGCAGTAGTCTGGGGTCCTGCATTACTAGCCCAGTGACATTACCACTGCACCATTGCCTCTCCTTTAGTCCAGACCTGCTGAGTTCTTTTTGTCCAGCACCTGCAGTACTTTGCTTTTACAAAAGCAGATATTTGCTCATAATCACATTGCTGAGTCTGGAAAGTTTGCTTCATTCAAAATAATTGCCACATTTCTCAAATTACAACAGGACCACAATTAAAGTACTTCATTAAGTGTTTTGAAAAGTTCAATAGTAGTGAAGAGCATTGTATAAATAAGATTTTTTATTCCCTATAACAGCAATTATAAGGCCCCTTATAAGAGCAATTAATGCCCACCACATCAACACAATATTCAATTTTTCCACAATTAACACCGAGTTTTGGAATTTCTTCCTGAGTTTCTCTCCTTTCCATTAAGCTACTTTTTTGACACACCTTTTTGTCATTTAACCAAATACCTCTTCCCTTAACTCATGTGTCAACATCTGTTTGATTATGTTCCTGTTGTACCATATCAAAGACGCTGTATAAAGTAAATATGTCTATGAGTTCTATTTAGTTTCAATTTAAAACATTTTGCTGCACAAATCTCCTTAAAAATGTTGAAAGATTAATATTTCTTGGAGATTAAGTACCAACTGAGACCGAAAGGTTTGCCTAACTGCAGAGTGGAATACCTACTCAAGCTGGTTAATTCAGGCCAGGCCAAAAGTTCGCTGGGTGCAAAACTCAGATTTGACTTGAATAATGACACTGTTGCTCATAGTAAAATAACATGGAACCAATCACAGTTCTCATTTCCATTGAAGATTTCATGTGATCAGCTTCAAAATGAATTCGTCTTAGCTTGGGAAAACTAAAGAGAATAACAAATCAATTTTCTGCAAGGCATATATTTGTAAAAGATGCAAAAAGATTCATTCCTGCTAGTGATGTCAACATTTCATGAATGGAGTGAAAATAAAGTTATACTAGCACCTGTAGCAACATTGCAACAAACTACACACAGATAAATACTTTCGCATTTACAAATCTCAACACATATTCTTTAAATGATTTTTTTTTTCTATGATTCTAACTGGTCAGGTTCATCACCATTATAATCTCATATTTTAAGTATTTCCAGTTAGATTAAACATTGGAAACTACGAGAAATAGAGATACAAATTGAAGAGGATTATTCAAAGTGTGGGGGGAGAAAAAAGCTTTACAATAACGTTGATAGTTGAAAGAAATTCAGAGAACAACTAGATCAGTTAAAAATTATTACAAGTCTTATAAACACAGAAACATGTTAAAATCATTTAGCCTCTTGAACCTGTTCTGCATTCCTTTGCATCATGGCTGATCTGAACTTCACCGTCATTTAGCTGCCTTTTCTCCATATCCATTGATATCATTATCTAACCAGACCAGTTTCAAACCTAGTCATTTTGCGCAGCCTATTCAAAGCATTAGTGGTCTACTTCTAGAATATTAACTTTTCTTTGCTTCATAGATGGCACATGGTCTGATATACATTTCTAATGCGGTCTGCAATTCACATTTACCCTATTCTCAGTTCTTTATCTTTAATGCGTACAGGGTAAATGTGCTGATTAAACAAGATACCACTGTACCACTGGCTCAGCATCTTACTTTCTAAACCCTCTGCTCCATGAATGGGTGATAATTTTGTCCCAGTCTTTTGAAATTCGCTTTGTAAATCCAGTTGTTATTCCATCTCTCCGTGGCTTCTAAAAAAAAATCAATGTCTTGAATTTTACTCTATCATTTCTAACTTTTGTTTGGTCAGTACCTGTTTCTCCATTTAAAAATGATTTTTCAATCATAGTAGTACAATTTAAGCCTTTTTCAAAAAGCTAGTTTAGACAAATGACCTGCCAGTGCGCTAAAACTTATGGTTCTAAGATCTCTGATGGAGAGCGCACCACAAATACTGAATGCTGCATGGATGTGATGTAGTGCATAATTGCATATCTCATTGATAACACTTTACAATTGTATAATAAGATTCATCACTTAAAGATGCAAAATAGTTTTCAACACATGTAGAACGATACTTTAATGTGTTATCACATGTAGAAAGAAAACAGCATTTTTATATGAGCAAAGAAAAATAAGGTGTGACATGCTTCATGTTATTCACATGAACTCTGTAGAAAATACCTGTCTAACTTTTGTCAATAGTAGGATTGAGCTCTTTTCCAAAAATTAATCATTTTGATTTGATTAGCGATTGAGGAATTAAATTATATTTAGTTTTACTGCGGTTAGTTGTGAACAGTTTTTGTAAAGAAGGAAGCCAATAGGCCTAAGTCAAAAGCAAGGTCATTGTTTAATAGCTTAGGCTAAGTTAACTTGGGCAAATATGGGCAAGAATGTTTTGAGTGAAACACTTTTACTCAAGACACACTTCTGAGTGTCTCGAATTGGTTTAGTTTTGTGACAAAACATGTAATAGGCTTGTGTGAATAAATTAACGCACTTATATGCCAATTAGATTGCAAAAGGCCCCTGCTCATGCACACGGAATAGTGGTTAGAAAAAGAGTTAATAAAGCATTCATTCATGGTAGTTTGATGCAGAAGAAAGAACAACCAAAGACAGAAGAACTTCTTCAGTCAACAGAACAGAACAGAAGAGATGTGTGCCCAGGCCACTAGCATCCTGAAGTGGATGCACTGAAAACTACTGCATTTATCACACATTAGTTCTTCTGTACTGATTATAATAAATGTAATAAATTCCATAAAACTTATGAAACTGTACTTGCACCCAGAATGAGTCTTGGAAATAATCAGAACCAGTAATCTTTTAGATTGAGCCAAGGGGGCCAGTCTAAAATTATAATTGACTTAGGTCTTGCAGCTAGAAGTTAAATTGTACCCAATTATATTTGGTGTACACAATCAATAAGTTTCTCCAATCCAATTACTTCAGTAAACTGTAAGTGTAACATTACACAAAAGACAATGTCAAATTATTAACAATGATCTGGAAATTGATAAAGATGACAGAATCTAGTACTGGCATTATTGTCATCTCCACACTCTCTATCTATCTTGTTGACTTGCGGTCAAGAATGAAAAATGTTCTATTACCGAAATATTCATTTTTAAAGTGGGAAGACTGAAATAGCTTGAACAGAAGTTGTTAAAAATTCTCCAAACAAATTAGGTTTAAAAAAAAACTTACCTTGTGGTCCATCAAGTTTTGCCTTCTTAACTGAAAGAAGAAGAAAAAGAATTATATTCTAATTAAAGTTCAACTTCAATCACTGCAGTAAGTATTCAGAATAATTCAGTGATCATGCACACTCCGAAATGGAGGTCAGAGAACCAAGTTTACAAAGTTGTGTCCTTAACTCTGATCCATGCTTCACAAGTGCAGCTACAGCTAGACAGTCAAAAATGTTTTTGCCTAATTTGGAATAGTAATTTTGTTTAGGTGCTCAAGGAATTGCATCAAAATAATAAATTTCACACATGTAAATGCAGGGCTGAACTTAATGGTTGCAACAGTTCTAGAAATTGAGCAGAAATCTCACTACACTCATTTTCAGGAGCCCTGTCAAATTAAATGTAAATAAAAATAAAGTGCTGGAGGAACTCAGCAGCTCTGGCAGCATCTGTGGAAAGAGAAACAGATTCAACGTTAAGTCTGATGCGACTCTTCTTAAATGTCAGTCAGGCAGCTGATCCCAACAAGGGGACGTGGGGCGCAGTGTGAGAACGGTGGAGTGGGTGGAGAATGTGGAGTGGGTCCTTAAGCAGTGACAGCCCTTGCTGCAAGTCATCCCTCCACACGTCAGAGTGTGCCCAATCAAGTGGCAGTGGGAGTTAATTCTGCCCATGGGTTTGCAATAGGAGCATTCCATCTTACTTTTATAGTGTAGAATTCTGTTTCTAAATGTATAGTCTTCTTTCATTCGTACTCAGCCTCAATCTTGTTAAAAATTCACCACTTTAGCCTTTACTCACTTCCTCAAATCCTACTAATCTCTTCCATGTCTAATTCCCATAGTGAAACACTGATGTTTTACACACTTTGCAAGTACAAAGTCACAATTCTGATGAATCCTTCTGAAATTGATGATTTGTGCACAATCACTCGTATTTGCTCTAAGAAGATGACAGTTTATTACCGTTATTAATGTAACAATTTATTGGTCAGAAAGCTCATTGGAATTTTGTTTCTTCCAATAATGCAACTATCAGTAATGAAGTACGCTATGGCCATTAGCAGACCAAAACATTAATGCCCAAGCTTGGAAAAAAAAAGTATAGACAAGAAAAGACATCCATTTCCAGCATAATTCATGTTCCCTATTTCAGTTCAAAATGCAAATAAGGAATTGCTAAAAGCAGTGGTGGCAGTTCTGACTAAAATTTCCAGCAGAAAAGTTTATTGATATTTTTAAAATTTCACAACTGTCACCAAGTGTAGATAAGCAAAAACTCAATTTCATTTTGCAACTTCAGAAAGCCACCAATTTCGTAATCTCATAAGTTGCCTTTTGTAAAGTTTGGCTGTTATGTTGAAAGAGATTTAGAACAATTGATTTGCCCTCCTTCGTCAAATTGCAAAAACAAAAATAGGCACAGCACCCTTCTTGCTGCAATCAACAAAACAAATTACCAACTGTAAGTTGGAGCACCACAACTTGAATAGGATTATGTTTTTATGATGAACTCCACAATGCTCATATGGATATTAAAAACATAGGCTTCAAGAACTAACTGTTCAGTGCTGCCCATATTCAGATAATCCTGTTGTTTCACAGTAAAATACAGGCTTTCATTTATAGAATTCATACAGTTGAATACAATTGAGTACAATAAAAAAATGAAAATTCCAAATAGAAATTAAAAATGCCCACACCACTGAAACATTATCCAATTTAAATAAGTAAGTATATTATTATAAAACAAAGATCTTAGGATGCTGGAGATCTGAAACAAAAACAGAAATTGCTGGAGCAGGTTTGGCAGCATTGTGGGAAGAGAACAGAGTTAATGTTTCGGTGTCCAGTGAGTCTTCATTAGAACTCTTCTTTTTTTGAATTAAAGTATTATGTTCAATATTAAGGAAACACAAGAGTATTTTTTTTAAAGCAGAAACAATCACTTAAAAATACTGAAGCATCTTGATGGCTGTGTTTGCCACACAATGGGTTTCCTTGAAAAATTGCAAATATAGTTCATACAAAAACATGTCTTCCTTGCACAAACAACACAGTACATTTAAAAGTCTCTATCAAATGGACTTGTCAGCTGTCAGTAGGCATTGAATGCAAAAACAGAATCAAGAACTGCTATATAATATGTGTGTATATATATTTATCTCTCTCTCACACACACACGCACACGATACAACAAATTCACTCTTGTCTATATTTTGTAGTTATAATTTTAGCAACTAATTTCTGCAATGTTGAGAAGATTGGGTATTTTGTTTAAAGTTTAGGAATAACTGATTAAAATGCACTGGTTCAGAACATATGTCACATTTGCACAGCTTACACAGTAAGGACATTGTAAGCAGAGTTGGCATATAGAAACACTAACTAGATGTATTTTTTGAAATGCCTGGCATTGCTGAATCAAACTTTTACTGTAGGAAGTAGTTTTATTTTCCAATTTCTGGTCTGTTGTAATATTTCCAGTTTTAGAGTATTGATTGGTTTTTCTTCAGAAGCTTCAAGTTTTGATATTTTGATCATGCCAAGTTACATGCTCCCCAGGATTAACAATAATCCTGTTTGCAATAACCAGTGTACTGGAATTATTATGGTTTTACAATAATATTTATAGGTTTTGGAAACAGCAGATAAAGCATGAACTCGATATTCTTTCAGTCTAAATGAGCTTAAAAAATCAGCAGCAGCGGGACAGTGGCTCGGTGGTTAGCACTGCTGTCTCACAGCACCAGGGACCTGGGTTTGATTCCACCCTCGGGCAACTGTCTGTGTGCAGGTTGCACATTCTCCCCGGGTACTCCGGTTTCCTCCCACAGTCCAAAAATGTGCAGGTTAGGTGGATTGGCCATGCTAAATTGCCTGTAGTGTTCAAGGATGTGTAGCTTAGGTGGGTTATAAGGGGATGGGTCTGGGTGGGATGCTCCAAGGGCCGAAGGGCCTGTTTCCACACTGTAGAGATTCTATGAATATAACAAATAGCCTACTTCTCCCAAAGTATGGCTGAAAGGCTTTCCTAATTTGAATAAGATCCTTGATAATTGCAATAGTTTAATTCACAAGTGAGAACTTTCAACATTCCTCAATTGAACAGAGTTTACTTATTAGTCAAGCTGATTGAAACTCAATTACATCCAGAACCACAATATTTATGAAACCTATATAAAACATAACACTAAAGGTGTCATAAAATTACCAGACCATAAGGCTGCTCTCTCAGAAAGACAGAGATGGCTGGTGGCAGTTTAACACAAGGGTCACCATGCCTTAATTTTAAGTTAAGTTTTTTTCAAATTTAGTTAGCTGTAAAACAATTTCCATTGTGAAAGTCATACGGCCCAGGTCAAAAGTCAGTTCTTTGATTTATGGTTTTACAATCACTTTCATAGCTGAATCAAGATGAAAGCTCAAGCTAATAATGTGAGAAAAGGGTAAAATGTTTTTACTCAAAGACATATTTCTGTTTTTTTGAATCTATGTTTTAAAATGGTTAAAGCACGTGACAGGCCCATGGGTGTATACGCGAATGTTTGTATGTACATACCTTTGGATTTAGCCTCTGTAGTAAATTTTGTAGCCATTTTGATCATTATAGAGACATCAGCTGGGACATTTGGAATGATAGTGTCACTTCCCAGTTATGAAATACCTACTCTATCCAGATATAGAAACTAACCATTAATGCCGTGTTATCTTGGTAAACATTTGTGGAGTTGGTAACTAGGGACAACCTGTTATGAATGCTCTTAAAAAGTCATTGGCATGACAAATACTGAATCTGAAGACAGGTGGAAATGATATTAATAAGATGACAACTGGCTTTCAAGAAAACGAAAATGGGAATTGAGTAAATGCGACCCAACCAATCCAAGATTGACCATGAAATATCCCTGTCCTAACAAGCCAATTAAAAAGGTAAGGATGTCACAGATTATGGACAGGAGTTGCAGGTAACCAGTGTTCAAAAAGTAGTGATTCTTAGGGACTTGGTGTATAAGAGCAAAGTGAGAAGAACCTCAGTCAAAGAAAAACAGAAGAGAAAGAGAGAGAGAGAGACTTGGCCAAGTCAAAATCAGTATCATGAACTGGCACCCTAAACTGGATCAACTCAAAAAAGTGTTTTATTGGAGAATTATTACGTTATGATAAGCCTAATAAATTTTGTATTCCTTTAACACCAAGTCTTGGAAACTAACCAGAACTGGTAAACATTTAGATTGACTCCCAGATTCGGTCTATAATCATAATTGATTTGGGTTTTACAGCTGAAGACACCCCAAAATCCTATAAATGGGGGCTTAATCAAGCATCCTGCTTCGTCAAAATGGTGTCAAGATTTTTGCATGTTATTGGTGCAGCCCTCACCCAAAGAAAAGGAGAGTACTCTATTACACTACTGACATGCATCTTGTAGTTGGTAGACAGGTTTTGGGTTGTCAGATGAGTTACTTGCCACAGAATTCTCAGTCTCTGACCCACCCTTATTGCCAGTATTTATATGGTTAACCCAGTTCAGTTTCTGAATAAATAAATGTACATGAAACTCAGCAGCAGTTACAAGTAAAACAATACACCAATTCACTTAGAGATGACAAATAGTTAACTTCCTATCAATCAATTCAATACCAAAATAAAACAACCTTATTGATTTCATTGAATGCTAGTACATAAATTGAAAATTAGCCAGGAAAATCAAAACATTTACAACACAAATTCCTCTAAAGACACAAAGTACAGTTAAAACAGGTACCAATAGCTCTCTGATGATTTGCTAATTTTTCTAATGTCATTGTAAGCAGTGTATGAAGGAAATCAATTTGGCCAAAAGAGCATCACATCGAGACTCTAATATTACCCACTGTCCATAATAATTCACATTCCATTTCTGTTACTTGTGCTATGAAGGAGTGGTAGATCTCCCTCTGATAACTAAAACACCCAGAGAAGCTCGCCTCGCCTTATAATCTACTAGAGGAGTAGTTAAATGAAAGAATTCCCTGATACTTACTTTATAATCAACAAGTAACAATTTAAGTCTAACTGTAACAGTTAACAAATTAACAGTACTAACAAACCAAACAACTACCCATTAACTACTAACTATTCCCATATAAAACAAAATTCTAATGGTATGCTGTTCCACAGATACAAGTCCCACTTATATAAATCAAATTATTTTTTAAAAAAGCTTAATCTCTCAAAATTACAACCAGGATAAGTCTTCCCAAATGTTCTTTGCCTTCTCCGCTGTCCTCCAGTCAGGAATGCCTTCCTCCGTCGAATTCTTGTGTCAGGAATATTAGCTAAGAGTGCCATAGTACCTTTATTTAGATAGCGCTGACTGAGATCTTAGAGATTTCTGTGAGAGTCAGTGATTTTTCTCTTTCTTTAAAGCTGATAGCGGTTGAGAGTTGTTCTCTTAACAGATGGCAGTTTGCTCTCACACCGATTTTCAAAAGCCCTCTTCATTTATACCTTTGATGACCTATTCATTTCTTACAATAGGATTGGTCCAAGTTTGTCAAAACCATCAGATTTAAATTTAACTGGAACAAAAACAAAAGTTGCTGGAAAAGCTCAGCAGGTCTGGCAGCATCAGTGAATTAAAAATCAGGGTTATCATTTTGGGTCCGGTGGCCCTTCCTCAGAATTTAACTGGGCTTTGGTATCTAGGGCCTGGTTTAAATTAATTGGCTAAATTCAAAAACTTGTTGTCTTGGTAAAAATGCTAACAGTATAACCTTTTGATACAATGTCTCAATTTCAAGAACTCTCTGTGCACCTGCTACTGCCTGCAAACACGCATTCTTCCCCCCCCTATCATTTTACAAATAAATTCTAATGTCCTGCCTTCCAATGCACGAGTACTATACCAACTTCACAACACTTGATTGTGATCAACAATAAGAACCTGAGGTTCTTGACTTGCTAGCCAAGCTGGCTTTTCTTGTTCAGACATTTCATCACCATGCTAGGTGACATTAGTGGAGCCTCCGATGAAGCGGTGTTATTTTACTCCGCTTGGAATTTATACTGTCTGGTCCGTTATGGTGAGTAGTGTCATTTCCAGTTTTGATCTGTATGGGTTTGTGTATGGGGCCCAAATCTATGTGTTTGTTGATTGCATTATGGTGGAGAACCATGCCTCTAGGAATTCCTGTGTGTGTCTATGTTTGGCTTGGGCTACTATGATTACCTCGTCCCAGTTGAACTGATGGCCTTCATTGTCTGAGTGTACCGATATTGAGGAGAGCTCGCTGTGCCGTTTTGCTTGCTAGTTGATGTTCATGTATGCTGATAGCTAGTTTCCTTCCTGTCTGTCCGATGTAATGTTTGTGGCAGTCATTGGCAGTATGTGGTAGTATTTTGTAAACCACGTTGGTTCTGCATGTTGTGGGAATGGGCTCTTTAATCGTTGTAAGTGTTTGTGGTAGAGTGGCTATGGGCTTGTGGGCGACCATGATTCCTGGTGGTCTTAGGAGTCTTGTTGTCAGTTCCGGTATGTTCTCGATGTATGGCAGTGTGGGCAGTGTGTTAGGGCATACTGTGTCCTCCTATTGTTGTCTGTTTAGTAGGCATCTGCGGATGAAGTTGCAGGGGTATCCGTTTATGGCGAGGATTTTGTATAGGTGCTCTTCCTCTTTCCTGCGTAGTTCCAGAGAGTTGCAGTGTGTCTTGGCCATTTAAATAGTGTCCTAATGCAGCTTTGTTTGTGGGCATTGGGGTGGTTGCTGTGGTAGTTGAGGATTTGATCAGTATGGGTTGCTTTCCTGTATACTGAAGTTTGGAACTCCCCATTGGTCATGCGCTCAATTTTAACATCCAGAAACAGAAGTGGATTGTTGTTTTCTTCTTCCCTTGTGAATTTAATCCCTGCAAATATGCTGATGAGGTGGTGGGTCTCTTCTAATTTGTTGCATTTAATAATAACAAAATGTGTCATCTACGTATCGGATCCACAGTTTAGGTTGAATGCAGGAGAGGGTGGTTTGTTCTAGTCTTTGCATGACTGCTTCTGCAATGAGTCCTGAGATGGGTGACCCCATTGGTGTACCGTTGATCTGTTTGTATACTTGACCATTAAAGACAAAGTGTATGGTGAGGCAGAGGTCTAGCAGTTTGAGTATGTTGTCATTGCTGATTGAGCTGCTGGTCTGCGTTGCTGCTTCCTCTAGTAATGTGGCCACTGTTTCTTTGACTAGTGGGATGTCGATTGATGTGAATAAAGCTGTGACGTCAAAGGATGCCATAATCTCATCGTTGCTGATTTTTATGTTTTTGAGGGTGTCAAGGAAATCTTGGGTTGAGTGGATGGAATGGGGTGATCCGTCGATTAGGTGTTTCAATCTTTGTTGTAGGTCCTTGGCCAGTTTGTGTGAAGGTGCGCCTGGTAGGGAAACAATGGGTCCAAGAAGGATGTCTGGTTTGTGTACTTTAAAGGAGTCCATAGAAGCAGGGGGTGTTCCTGCCTTCTGGTTTCATTCTTACGTAGTCCATCTTAGTTATCTGCCCTGCATCCTTCAGTCTCTTCAGTGTCTGGGTGATCCTATTACCTAGCTGTAGTGTTTGGTCTATCGACACCTGTTGGTAAGTGGTTGTATCCGCAAGCAATGTCTGAGCTTATCAACATAGTCTGGTTTGTTCATAATGATGGTCATGCGCCCTTTGTCTGCTGGTAGGATTATGACGTTCTTGTCTTTCTTAAGTTTATCTAGTGCTTTTCTCTCTGATGTGTTCAGTTTGTCCCCTTTGTTCCTTCTGTGTAGCGTGGGGATTATAGCTTGTCGGATGGTTTGTTGTGTTTTGTCCATGAGTCTGTTGTCTTTTAATGTAGTCTCCAGGGCGGTCATGAAGTCTGTTCTGTTCACATCTTTGTGGTTATAGTTCAGTCTGTGAAACAGGACATCTTTGTCAGTTTCTGTGAGTTGTCTGCTGGTTAGGTTTCTTATCCATGTGTCCGTTTTGTTGTTGTCCATGGATTTGTGCAAGTAAGGCAGTTCTAGTTCTAGCAAGAACCTAGATTAATGTATGAAATTGAGCATAAGCACCCAGTATCAGCACCCCAAATATCGTACTGGACAGAACAGTAGACTTTAATGCTCAAGTTGTGTGGGGGAATTGGAAGCTTACGATTGGACTTAGGTGAACTATTCAACCCACTGAGGTTGTGAAAAAGACATTGCTCCATGCTCCACATCTCATTTATTTCGCTCTTGCTACTAACCTTTGAAGCTTCAGAATATAAATATCTGAATAAAGATGAAATAGAGGAAAATTAGCAGAATGGGATCAGGGATGAGGGAATTTTGTTATGTGGAGAGAACAGAAATGCTGAGGTTATTTTTCTTAGAAAGAACGTTAAGGGGTAAACCAGTAGAAATGTTAAAAATCATGAAACCCTATGGAGAGAGTAAATAAGAAGTTTTATTATATACTAGCAGAAAAGAAATAATTGGCTATAGTTTGCAAAATGCGTCAGGGTGTGGGTTGGTGACAAATTAATTTTAAGTCAGCAAGTTTTGATCTGAGATGCAACAAAGGAGGATTCAATAGTAACTTTCAAAAAAGGAAGTCGATACAC